GTGTGCCCTGTAGATAGATACAATTAAGGGCTGTTATGGAAACCTTCAAGGTCCTCTGCCAAACCAGACCATAAAGGAAATAAGAAAGTGACAAAAGTGGTGGTAGCAAAAATGATTTGGAATTATTCAGCAGAGAAGGCATTTTTATTCCTGTTGAGGCAGGTAAATTATATTCAAGTAACATTGCTGGATAAGTTAAACTGTTTATAAATCAGACCAATTTATGCATATTGGACTGCAAAATTGAGTGAAACATTTGAAGTACATGTATAAGCATGATATACAGTAGGATATGATCATGTCTTTGCACTATGTCTGTATGGGAATATATGGTTTTTTCTTATCATAACTGTACTTTACTGCCTTTTTGATAAATATGATGAAGTATTAGTTAATCAGATTTTAATGTCCAGTAACAAATATTACATGTATATCAGGACACGAACATGTAAGTCATGTTAGTTTGTACTAAACTGACATGAATGACATGCTGAAATTTATTTTTAACATCCTAGGAGTCTAGGAAGCAACCACCCAAACTCAAGGTAAGTAGGAGACCATTCCTGTTTAACTACAATATGAAATTAAGCAGCTGGGGTATGACTGTCATTGAGACAACTATCACCCAGAGTTCAAATGAACTGAAGGTAAGCAGTTTAAAGGTCACTGTACAGAGCCATTTTATTTGAATTTGATTTAATACCTTCAAATATTCCCATTTTATTCCATTAACAATTTCAATATGCTAAATAAGGATGTTTCATGGGCTCTTGGTAGTTGGTATAGATGGTTATTTTTACTATTCCAAAAAGTTTCACTTGGAAAAGTCAATTGTAATTCTACACAACTGCAGTGTATTATTTAACTTTATATATAAACACCAATTGTCGTGGGTCAGACAGTTACACTATACAAATGTAGATGCATGAATGAACTTGTTTGCTTTTATTTCAGGCTTATGTAGTTCATGCTATGCAATTATAAATGGAAAGTAAAGTCAGGAGCAGACAGAACTAGAAAATGTCCAGTAGCAAAAATTACATGTATATCAGGACACGAACATGTAAGTCATGTACGTTTGTACTAGACTGACATGCATGACACGCTGAAATTTATTTTTAACATCCTAGGAGTCTAGGAAGGCAACCACTCAAACTCAAGGTATAGCAGGAGACCATTCCTGTTTAACTACAATATGAAATTAAGCAGCTGTGGTATGACTGTCATTGAGACAACTATCACCCAGAGTTCAAATGACCTGAAGGTAAGCAGTTTAAAGGTCACTGTACAGAGCCATTTTATTTGATTTTGATTAAATACCTCCAAATATTCCCATTTTATTCCATTAACAATTTCAATATGCTAAATAAGGGTGTTTCATGGGCTCTTGATAGTTGGTATAGATGTTTATTTTTACTATTACAAAAAGTTTCACTTGGAAAAGTCAATTTTAATTCTACACCACTGCAGTGTATTATTTAACTTTATATATAAACAACAATTGTCGTGGGTCAGACAGTTACACTATACAAAAGTAGATGCATGAATGAACTTGTTTGGTTTTATTTCAGGCTTATGTAGTTCATGCTTTGCAATTATAAATGGAAAGTAAAGTGAGGAGCAGACAGAACTAGAAAATGTCAGTTCAGTAAGTTTATAAATATTTTTCTACCATTGAACACCTATAGACTGATAAAGGTTAAATTGCAATATGATCAAAATCAGATCTTTATGTTTGTTTGTTGTGGCCTGGAGGACCTTAACCTCATTTTCATGGTCCGCCGCTAATCAAATACTAGAAGCAAAAATTGAACTAAATTTGTTGTATGGATTGATTGTAAAATTTACATGTCTATCTGTCACGGATTATCTAACTTTGACCTCCTTTACATGGATTATTGATTCTGTTTATGTGATGCTTGTAGTAAAACCTTTTAACAAATAATCAACCATGATCAGTCTGCAACATAAGCCATTAGTATGATGCCCCAGACTAGTAACAGTTAATTTGGACTGGTAAGTATTTGCAAAACTTTGGTTAGACACATCAGAAAAATGTCAGAATATTGGTCTTTGGACTACACTATGTAGTACATGTAGCCGGAAAAGATTTTAGTGCAGACTGCTTGATTAGTAAAGAAGGCAAGACATTTCGGTGTGTTGTAATCTTGTTACACTAATCAAACTATCAAACTGACCACCAACCTGGTCAATATTAGAATTAACTGTTTTTATTTATCAATCTTGACTTTAAATTCATTTCCTTGGTAAAGGGTCATGACTGATTGCAATTTTTAAGAAAAGTCTGTGATTCTGATTTGAAAAGTATCTCAAATGCAAGCAATTATAAATAAAGGCTATAGTAGTATACCGCTAGTATAAGACAAAATGGTTGGTTGAACCTGGTTTTATGGCTAGCCAAACCTCCCGCTTATATGGCCATGTAAATAATAACGCTAAAATGACAACGTTACGTGACAGGAATACAGTACAAATAAACGCAAGAACACTCAGGACAGAGAATAATTACATAAATAAATGATATAATAGTACATTACAACATGTAAACAACAGAATAATAACGGACACCTCCCATGTACATCACAATGAATTATGAACTGTGCGTCACACGAATGCATCCACGCCACAAAATGAGACATCACAGATAAATTTCTAAAAGTAGAATATAAAATTAGGATTAAGTTTGTAATGGTGTTATTTTATGTATTTTCTGACCATTACAAGAATTTTAATATAGAATTGTGTTAGTAATGGTGTAATTATTTGTATTTTCTAACCATGTAGGTTTTTCTTCTAAATCAAAATTGTGCAAAAACAAATAAATCCTGTGCATATAGTAGCTTTAAACTAAAAATCATTATAATTAACTAGCTGATCAATTATCTTAATTTTTACATACATATAGAAAATGAAAAAAAAAAATTCAAACCACAGACGATAAGACATAACACAATATCCAACCAGAATTACACACCAAACATCATAACTAAATACATAAATGTTGGAAGTATAAATACCGAGACACGTCTTATAGCAATGCGAATTCACACTCGGGAAAACAGTCATATTCCGGAATAGGTCACGTTCGGTACTTATCAAACCAGACGACGTAGATGGTCAACCACAATCTAAGACGTGGTACAAATGTCGTTAGTTAGTTTAGACACAGACACATCGTATAGATCAATCAATTCGTGATGGTGTTCATAAAATATACGGAGTGTCATTTTTAATCTTTCCTCCTAATAACTCTGTTTGAGCATTGCCAACATAAGACTGTGGCATTAGTGTAAAAGACCTGGTGGCTTATTGGAGTATATATACATCTGTCTATTAAACAATATGTATAATCATGATAATATTAGAAATTTTATTTTGCAGTGTTGTATTGATAAGGATGAAATTTAAGCAGTTCTGAGAAAGTTCAGACCAAGAGACCAAGGAAACCTAAGGTAAACATATAAACAAGAGCTGACATGATATATATGCCATTAAGACGGATCTATTCTTATAACACAAAAAATTAAAAATCTTTACGTCTCTGCAAGATCTTCAATTTTCTACATGGCAATGCATATAACACAATAGCAAGCTCCCGGATGTATGGACAAAAGGATGAAATCAGCCAATACAATCAATTACTTAGAAATAAAAACGAAATGAATTTTAAAAATAAAAATACTAACAAACAAATGATAAATACACTCCTGACCTGGGACATGTTTACTATGGCTGTGTCCTGTCTTTGAGAGGTCAAAACCTCTTGTAAAAAACTTTATAACTAGATACGGTCAAAATATGAAATACTTCCTAGGTTTTCATCCCATTTTGCTCATAAGCATCATTAGTCTCCGAGATTGTATAAGATTTTTGATTCCTAGGCATTTTAAGTTCTAAGATAAGGGCTGTTGAAAGGTTGATGTTTTCCATTTGCAAATCTTTTAATTTTTCTGTTGAGAAAAATGAGAAAAACATATTTCTATTAATGTTATATGTATAAAAGGTAAACAAATTAATTTGCATCTTACAATTTACATAAAATCAAATTGCAGTATTACTGTCTATTCCTAGGTCTAGTACAGTACTATGTCAATCACAAAACTGCTTTCACATTTATATCACATTTTGGCCAAAACAACATAATTATTATGTCTGTCTACCTTTTCCTGATCAATCCTATGTCTGATCACCAACAGTTTCAAGAATTTTTGTATATGGCAGATTTTACAATAAAAAGGAAGTATTGCTTTTTTGTATCCATCAAAAAAGGTATTGCTGAAACTGTGAAACAGAGTGTGAAATGAAGTAATGCATTATTTTATTTAATAAAAGGTGTCTTTCTGAGTAAATAAAAATAAAAATCACCCTGTGTTTATGTTTTTTGTTAGAATTAGTGGGTTTTCAATTTCAAAATATTGGACATTGAATAGACATTGTGACCTACTTGACTGACATCTAGCTTATTTGGAATGGAATTTTAAAGTATTATTTTTAAGTAGAGCCTAATAACATGGACTTATATTTTAATAAAAAGTATTCTTTTGTGTTTTAATTATAATTCTAAGGCACATTTTTATTGGTAAAGGCTAAAAAGGTAATTTAATAATATTATTGCGAACGTCACATCTTTTCCGTCCATTGTGGTATGTTACGATCGCAATTTATTTGTTGGTTCTCAGACGGCCCGTTGTTATTTTTAACTCGGGTTTTATAAATAATTGATATAAATAGCAATCACATTAAATTTTGATGACGAAAGGGGGTCAAAGGACTTTCGGAATCAATATCATTGGCTGTTTTAGTTTTTGCGAACGTTACTGCTCTACGTTTCCGTCCAAATCAATGTCACGTGAGCAATATATATTTAGATCTGTAACTCTCCTGTATAGGAGTTACGATATCGCCCTTTGCAGAAATGGATGCGGAGCCGGTTCCCTCACATAATGGGAAAGCAGAGAAGGTAAGTTGTCTGATTTATCGTTACACGAGGTCCTTTATTGTATTCCGTCCATCAAAAAGACATTCGCAACAAAACGTTGAATCAAGTAATGTCATTTAAATGTCACATTAAGAAACTTTTGTTTTGGTTTTTCATCTCCCAACGAGATTTGACCATATTTTACGTACAGTTGAGTCTTCTAGTTCATCAAAATACATTTCTTTTAATAATTTGATGCGAACGGTATAACATGGACAGATTTTTATGTAGCGATCGTTACTTTGGGACAGTATATTGTTGATGTGATGTTATATAAGAAAATTAAAACAGTCTAATATAGTAATGAAGGGGCGCTCATTACTATATATATTTGAAGGTAATAGTCTTTCCTTTTCGAAGAGCTTCATACCACATCTTCTATTTTTATAATAACAACTTAGTTCATTAATTGCCAAAATTAGTCCAGTTCTTAAAATTGTCAAAATTGGCCTAAAAGTCATTGCTCACAGACAAATTTACCAAATGGTAAACATACATTTGATTTTCAGGGGTATCTTAGCATAATCTCGGGTAATCATTAAAAGAAGATGGTAACTTGAACTGTTCTAGCTATAATTAATGATGACAACATATCTTTAATTACCATATATACTGAAAGCATTCGGCAAAAAACTATGTCTTGATTGAAGTAAATTTGAAGGCAGTACTTCAATACATTTTAAAAATTTTAATAGTTGTTCATTTTTTAAATTGTATTCATATACCAGTAATATTTTCAATTTATTTTCTTTCAGATGCAGTCCTCCAGAACTAACAGAGACGATAAATTTTTCAAACATTAAAATATTTTAAAGCTTCTTAGTCTAGGCAGTATTTTCGACTTTTGAATGCAAATGCATCATGAATTAAATGGGCAAAGCAAGGTGTTCTGAAGACTACAAAAGACTTTCTTTACCAAAATCCATGGTGAAAGTCATTGAGGCATTGATCACTATGGTATTTCCATCTTCACTGCGAATTGATTTGAAATTGTTCATTCTTATGTTGTTTGATGTTTCTTGGTAGACATTACATGGGCATTTTGGCTTGTGCTTCATAAATAATCCATATCCCCCTTCTGTTTTGAGTGCCAAAGGTTGCAGGTTAAATTCGTAGCCAGATAAAATAAGACATTAAAATTGGGTCTTTGCTGCTTCTCATCCAAGCCAAAAGCATCTAGGAGTAAAAGCAAAGGTCAGCTTACAGAGGCAACAGAGTCTGTATAATGTGTCTTTGTGGAAAATCCATCTAAGCGTGTCGGTCTAGTACAAAGCAGAGATCATATTACATCAACTTGTTCTCGTCCTGATGTGCACATACTAGGTTGACACTGGACGTTAAACAATAATTAATCCATCCATCCATAAAATCTGGTGTGTCAGTCTGGTACAAAGAACAGTTCTTATTGCATTTGGTACTCATATCATATCAACATCTCAGTTCACGACTAAAGATATGAACAGATCTAGAAGAATCATTCAGTTACATCTGAAAACTTTTTCGATAAAGATATCATGAATCTTATTTTTCACCTCCTGTAACAATTTTGGCCCTATTTAGTGCGACCCATCTAGATAGCAAATTTTCTTAATGTATTACTGAAGAAGATGTTGCTAATGTTACTATTACAAATTGGTTTCTTGTGTATTCATTTGATACAAAGTAAACCTGCCAATGACATTCTGTATATTTAGATATTCTAAACCAGACTGTACAATTTAATTACTCAAAGCATTTATAAAGCACGACTGTGTGCATACATTTTATTTTTTAAAGATGCTGTTGCTAATGTGACATGTCCAAATGTCGCTAACGTTACTCATTTTTGTCTCCGTCACATTAGCAACAGCCTTAATTCAAAACATGTTTTCTTTTAAGAATCTGGCACAAATTAAACTAGTAAAAAGTAAATATTGGCAACACATGCAACTTTATACTTATTCAATTCTTTTTACTGTGTATTAGATGTCATTTACTTTGAAAAACATAAACTTTTGTCCCATTTTCCATATGTCACATGTCCATCATCTTAAACATATTTTTTTTCCACTAATATATTAGAAATAGTAATGTGAAAGATGCTGAATATCTTCCTAAACCCTTTACCTTTCAGAATTTATTTTGGTTTTATTGCTGGTTAAAGGCTTTAAACCAAAATTAATGAAATTTTGGACCAGGGTGCAAAAGGAGAAAATGTGGGTATCCTGTTTCCTTGGCAACCATTCAATAATCTCTTACTTTATTTACTCCTTTTTTGAAGAATTATGATCTACTGATAATAAATTTTCAGAAAATATAATTTTTTTTCGTGTAATGCCTTCTTTAATTATTTATCATGGAAGTAGGAGGCAGAACACAATACTGTAAAATCTGCCATATTGCTTTGCTACAAAATGATAAGAGAAAACGCATTTTGTGTTGTTAGAATAACATACAAATCCTATTTCTGCTGACAGATAGTAAAATCAAAATTTTAAAAGTATCAGTATGCAAGCACCAATTTAATCTGGATTGAATTTAAAGAAAATGAGTTTTTTTCCGAATTTTTAAATTATATATAAAATGAAATCAGATAATGAAATCAGATAAAATAAAGAAATAAAATAACCTGAGTATAAGTCGGGCCCGGTTTTCAAGTTGGTCCAAAATTAAACTTTGTTTGATTTCAACAAACACTGACATTCGGTTCTTTCATATGCTGAATCTAGGGCCCATTATTAAATTGGTCTTCATTGAGGTCAAAAGGGTCCAAAATTAAACTTTGTTTGATTTCAACAAACACTGACATTCGGTTCTTTCATATGCTGAATCTAGGGCCCATTATTAAATTGGTCTTCATTGAGGTCAAAAGGGTCCAAAATTAAACTTTGTTTAATTTCAACCAAAATTGAATATATGGGGTTCTTTTATATGCTGAATCTAACCGTGTATTTTGATTTTGGGACCGGTTATGAAAGTGGTCCACATTGAGGTCCAAAGGGTCCAAAATTAAACTTTGATAGATATCTACAAAAATTGAATATATATGGGGTTCTTTTGATATGCTGAATCTAACCATGTATTTAGATTTTGGATACTGGACCATAGTAAGTAAACGTCCAATTAAAAAGGATAAGCACGACAAGATGTATATACCCTTAAACATGTTGTTCACTGTTTTTTTTTCTGTTTTGGGTGTTATCTAAAAATATCTAAGCGCTAGGTTAAACCTGTAAATTGCAAAAATGATCAGCAGCACAAAGAGTCACTACAATACATTTGTATGTGTATATTTAATAAAAGTCCTAGTTATTAAACTGGCCATTTTTTACCAGGTGTGCCTCTTGTTTACATTGTAATCACTCAAGATATTTGTGTTGGGATGAAAGGTCACTAATACATGTATGTAAAAAGTAAAAAAACAAAAATACCGAACTCAACAACAGAAGATTTTGATTCTCAACTGTCAAACTGGAATGATTCCTTAAGCAAGCCATCAATTGAAAGTTTGAATGAGGCTTTACAGATTCTTGGAAAAGGATCAATCAGTCCTTTGAAGAGCCAACTAAAAACTCCAGTAGAGGAAGCAAGTAGCAGAACAGTAAGGCTTTACAAAAGAAAAGCAGTGCAAGGTATTGACGCACTGATTGAATGTTTAGCGCCAGGTCAGAGTACTAAATTATTTAAGCATATAACTTCACATGGAAGTAACAATGAAGATACAGATAGTCAATTGACTCAAATGATTGTTCGTCTTTATAATGGTTCTGATAAAAATGATGAGAAATTACAGCTGCTCTCTATGATTGCAAATAAATACTCAAAAACACAATTGCAGAATTTGATACGTGGTAATAAAGTATGGCGGATAGATCAAGCCAGAAGACTTTTTCATTTTTACAGTCATGGGCCTGGCTGTTTCAGTATAGACGTGAAAGAAAAACTGCACAGACAGAGAATGGATCGTGTCAAACTGAAACATGCTCTTCGTTTCTTTTTTTATCATCAGTTTATACAGGTGTCATCATTTGGGATGAGAACAGTGAAACTGGAACAAGAAACTGTATCGATTCCACAAGTTATAAGAACAGTATGTAACTCTAAACTAGTCAACATGTATATTTCCCTTTGCAAGGAGCAAGAGTTCTCCCCATTATCGTCATCAACTCTATTCAAGATACTATCTTCATGCTCAGCAGCCAAAGAGACAAACTTGCGTGGACTTGGAAGCACATCATTTGACCTCTTGATTAATATAACAAGAGAACTGCTATACAAGAAAGTATTAAACAGAGATGATTCTGATTAAATTTTGTCATAACCCAAGAAAAGTAAGATATACTTGAAAACAGACTTTAAACTTCATGTTCAAAAGAATGACAGGTGTCCTGATCACTGGTTTACATGGGCTTTAAGTGACACAAAGGAGAGCGAATATGCTGCAGTCTGTGATCATCTTCATGACCTGGTGTGTGATAGATGTAACTTGTTATCTGAAGTCTTGCAAATGTTAGCTGACAGAGTGGTTAATACTTCGGGTAAGTAAAATATCAGTTAAAAAAAATGTTTGAGTTTCAAGTACATACGACTTAACATGAACAGTACACACAAGGCAAAACAGTAAACAAATCACTTTCACTAATTTAGAAACAACCCATATACCACCCACTGCATGGACCATAGGAAGAACTTTACAAAATTTGTCTTCCATATTTGCATTAAGGCTTTATAATGTAAGTGCAAAATCACAAATACTGCCGAAATAGCCTCACTTTGAGATATTATCGTTAATGTTTAGATATGGGTCAAGGCTTTACCTAAAAAAAAATTTTTGCTACAAAACGTAAAATATCGTTTATGGTGAAGAGTAAGCTAATATCTTTTTTCGATGGTATAGAGAAGAGACAAACCAAGTTAACCATCAATAACTGAAGACATTGCATGACCTCCAAGAGTAGCGATGCCAGATACGTCGACAGGGTAGGCGGAATCTTATACGGATGCATCATTCGCAATGAGAATCCACAAATAGTCAACGTATTCAATAACCATTTCAGTTTGATGCAGTCAGTTTTTATCGGACTTTCGCATTTTTTAATTTTCATTGAAGTTCGTTTTTTTTAATACTATTATATTACAATCGAGAATAGGACGCAATCAGTAAATTACAGTTCATACGACTATACTGTCATCTGAAGATTAAAGATCACTCATGAGTTAAAACACCGACACATCGTATCGGTCATCAAATTTATGATGGTAATAGTAAAACTTATGTAGCGTCAATTTCATTCGTTCTTCTTCGTAATTCGTTTGGAGCATTGACCACAAACGAAAATGACCACAAAATAAATATGAAAAATAACAATAAGCTCGGAATTTATGCATCATTCTCTATGCAAATGTGACAGCAGGACCCTTGCTCACATGTCAATTTTCTAGGAATATAAGTCATCAAAACAGAGTGAATGTGTTTGAATAACAAAAAAATATCGTGCACTTCTTACTCAGTAATTTCAAACATTCCGAAAGGTTTTTAGAGACAATTCTTAAAAGTAGAAATATGCCGGCACATTTGATATTGTCTACCAACATGATCCAGCTCATATGTCATAGATATAGTATACATGTATATATTGTGAAATTCACCCTTTAAATAATTCATGCAACAGAAGCAGTGAAGTCCACGTTATCACGAAAATCGGTACAAATGTCAAAAAAAGCTACGATAAATCAAAAACTTAAACAGTTTCATGGAAAAAAACGCATAAAAAGATGTTCAACCTATTTTATTTTTTATTTTTATGAGTTTTCACTTGGCAAATAGTGAAGCCAGTCC